AATAATGGTATAAGGCTTCAAGCATTGCTAGAATATAAAAGTACGAGTCTGATCCATCTTCTTTGTCTGGATATCCGTGGCTTGCAAAATGATATATCTGGATCTGGTTAGATTAGTTATCTCACTGGCATTGCCAAGCTTGTTGGAGAAATTCCTAAGTTCATCATGGTCATGGCTTAAACCAGAAGAAACAAAATATCATAATTGACAATTTTTTTAAGTATTTGGAATGAGTATATCTGATCATGGACATTCTTGACAATATTTCTGCTAGTGAAAAACAGTATCATTGTTTTGGTCAAGCAATCAAACTCTATAACAGGAAATCTTGTTTATAAAGTTGTTGAAGGCCTGAACAAACTAAAGTTGCTTTCCCAGGATGCTACTATCTAACATTTAACTCTTACAACAGTTATACATCCTGATATGTTCCTTTTTTCCCTATGCAACGGGTAGACACACATATAAGTCTCCCATGCTGCCACCAGCCTTGGAAGCCCTTTATATTACACCTATATTTACCACTTCACCTCTACTCAAGAAGAGAAACGTAACAACCAAAACAACCAAAAGAACTGGTGTCTCATATCTACCAAGAAAAGTATCTCCGAGGTACAGCTACAGCAGCTGGCTAGATATTAACAAGTTCCTACCTTCAGTGCTGAGAGGTCAGCAACTCTCCATCCACAGTCAGACAACGAGGATAAAGCACCGTTGTCAGACAAGGCTTAAAGGGAAATCATCATATACTATGAATTGCATTTAGCATTTTGATATCCTATTGGTTGGTCATGCTTTAAATGAAACATCATTAAGGATACCATAATTTTTAATATGTGATTTGGAAGATCAAAAATAATGAAGTCCCACAATGAAAACAAATGCATTAATTTTCCTACAGGGTGAGAAATAGATTAGCATAAGTTCAACATTTCTAAGAAGATGTTTGGGGGAAAATTAGTCCTGGAACTGTAATATACACTTAAAGTTACCAAGCACCATGCCAGGTCCCGTGCCTTTTTCTTTCCAGCCATAGGTGTCAGCAATACCCTGGGATTTATCTATTGTTTCCATTTGTAGATTCAATCAAAGTAACTCCTTACACTGCTTTGTATATAATTCAATCAACTTTACTGCACAGGCAGCTTCTGGAGAGAGATCACTTCACACCTTGTCTCTGACATGTTTCACTCCCTATAGGGGCTTAGTCATTTAGTCATTCTATGCCTATGTTTTATCACTAAGCCCCAGTAGGGGACAAAACACATCACAGACAATATTTGGAGTGGAGTGTCTAAAAAACAGTCATTGAAATAATGCTTACTGAATTCCATAGGAAGTGGTGTGTGGAGTGACTTTGATTGAATCTATGTATAGATCTGACAGTTTAACACATAGGGAACCAGAAAAGATCTTCTTAGGCAAAAAATAACAGCTGACATTACTTTTTTTTTTTTTTTTTACAAATGCTAGTCACCGGGCTGTAATGCCTACCTAATAGCTTTAGTGGATTTTTGGATTCCATTGATTCAAGACAAGAGTGCAGATTGGACAGTTTGACTTCACTTGCTGCATGCTTGTTTCAGATCAGTGACATAGTACTAAATGTCATAGACAACCTGGGAACTAGAATTGTAGGGCAGAATTTTACTTTAATTTCAGGTTTCCTTTAAAGGAGAACCCCATTAGTTTAATGGTTTCTCAAAAAAGTTCCATTCAAGGCATGCCATGGATGATAAATATCACATCCTTGTGCTCTCAACCGGACTGTCAAACCATCAAATGGCTGGTAATAACAGATCTAATGTGTAGCACCATGGCATTTGCAGATCCAACAGATGGCAGCTTTCTTGGCTGTACCAGATAGGGAGGTCTGTTCCGCTTTCAAGTATTTTTTCTTCATTTGGATTGATTAAGGAACAGTTATTTTTTTTTTTGCCTGTGTCCCATTGGGGAGATTTCCCTTCACTTCCTATCCTACAGTCAAAACAGAAAGTGAGAAGAAATCCTTCCAAAGTGAGGGAATCCCAGGATGTCAATAGGGTCATCAGGACTAGTGTCCACATTGAAAGATTTCCCCTCTATTACTGTTCTGATATAAACCCAAAATTTGCTATTTCCTTTACTTTCACTTTTGATGATGACAGTAAATAAGACAAGTAGAGAGGGGGAGTCTCACTAACATGGGCACAGACAGCAATAAAAACATTGGTTTTATTCCATCTCCACTCTATCCAAAAATAGAAAAAGTTTTGCCTTTAATTAAACTTTAACCAAATTTACAATTCTTGGTAGGATGGATTCTTGGCCTTGTTTTACATCTTAACATATGTTTTTTTTCCAAATACTGTAGAATTTTGGTACACTGTTAACAAGGGTCAGTTTTACTTTAGAAGCCAGAGCATTGTTAAATAAAATCTCTTCATTACTGAAACCATAAAACATAAAATCAGAGAAAACAAGTTAGTTCTGTTAATTTGTTGATGAGAAAATGCTAATTCTGGCAATTTTCTATAAAGTGATCATTTCCCTTTAAGGAGGAATATATTTTCACACCTTGTAAGCACTCAAGGGTTTTTTGTGGAACATTGATTTCCACAAAGCGTGTGCTCTTAGCGGTGTTTTTAGATGTGTCTTTGACTAAGTTTGCTTTCACTTTGCTTAGTAATTCTGGCTAACAATAAGCTTTTTGGTGTTGCCCTTTTTTGTCAGTCATCCTTTTACCTTGTTTGACATCCAATCATATCCTTTTCTCCTTTACAGCAAAACTGCAGGATGCTTTAGACTGAAGTTTGTTTCACTAGTTACATTATTCATATTTATAACCATTGTTTCATCAAGAACATATGAGGGTAATCTGAAAAGTTCATGGTCCGGCACAGGAGTGACCACACAGACATCACTGCATAACTTATCACTGCACCAAGTCACTCTTCCAGATGTTCAGCACTGAAAATGGTGCATACTTGTTATGTGGTTTTCATGTGCACTCTGCAAACAGTTGACATCTCCTGTAGTCAGGTATAAAATGGAGAAAGTGAAAGAAGAAGGCTTGAAGTGTTCCATCAGTGGGCAAAGGGATGGAAACTGTCTTCTGAGATTCCAAGGGTATGAAGCAGCTTACAGAGGCCTGTTGCCATCACTTTGCCCACTGATGGAACACTCCAAGCCTTCTTCTCCATTTTTCTCCATTTTCACTTTCACTACGGCGATGCCATCTGTTTGCAAAGAGCACTTGAAAACCGTATAGCGCACACATGCCCTTTTCCATGCTGAAAGATGGAAGAGTGGCTTGGTGCAGCAATAAAGTTTCATGTCTTTGTGGTCGATCCTTCTGTGTCAGGCTGTGAGTTTTTCAGACTACCCTCGTATTTCAAAGCTGTCCTTCAAAGTTGTTTGACAGGACAGTCCCAACTTCTGGAATGTATATAGCACAATATTTACAGAAATGGGTGTGTTCTTTCTAAATTTGCAGATATAGGCTTGGACTAGGGAAAAATTAAAGGACTACATAGCAGTATTTATTTCTTAAAGAAGACATGTTAAAATGGACCCCCACTCCATCTTAGTGCCCTGCCTCCTATCATCATGTCCAAAGCATTGATTTTCTCAAAAAAGAAAAAATTTTGGTATAGGTCTGATTAGGATGTTAATCACATAGAACAATAAATATGTGAAGTTCCTTATTTACATTACAGTCTAAGCAGATTTTAATAGTTTAAGTTTAAATGTTCAGACTTATTGGCTATCCTTAATCCTTTGAACATAGCAATATTATAATTTCTCCACAATCTATTTTGTGTCTTGTACAAAACATATGTGGTTTTAGAATATTTTTTCCAACTCTATAAGAAAATCTGTAATTGTAGCAAACTTTAAGAAAGGAAATACTGTATACAGTATGTGTTCAAAGTTTCACATTTGTACAGGGCATTCCCTGTTTCCAAAGCTGCATATCAGTTCCTGTGTAGCTGTAATTTGGTGTAATTTTCTTCTTTGCATCACTACTCAGAGAATCACAGACCCAGAACAAGAATTCAGGTCAGTTCTAACACTGCTCTGGCTGCATGTCTGTTCCAGATCAGTGACTCACCAATCAGTGAGGCAAGAACAATAAAAACCCCAGATCACACACCTTGAAAAATATGGAGGCAGTGGCTATCTATCCTAAGAAGCTATCTTTTTAAAAAAAGGTCAAGTGTGTGGAAGCCAAAATAGTACATACTCTGTCACTTGGCCAATGAACCACTTGCCTTTTTTTTTAGTTCATGTAATTCACACTGTTCCATTTACCCTCCATGTATAAATAGACAAAAAATAAAATATTAAGCTTATAGCAAGCCATTCCTTCCATGAAATATTAAACATACAGAAGGCCATTCCTTCCATGAACTACTGACCAACTGTAGCTTCTACACTGTTACTCGAGGAATGGTTTACTGTGTCTACAACTAGATCTGTATTATAGGAAATGTTGATACATTTTGGGAACCAAATCCTTTGGAGTAGACAGCAATAGGAATGCATCTTAGCTTTACATTATACTCATTTACAAATTAAATTACAAAGGCTACTGTATCTACCATATCAGGCATACTGTATCTACAATACATTTGAAAAAGTATTAATGGAAAAAATACTCAGTTTGTTCACATAGAAATGTTTATCATGAAGAGAGCGCTTAAATTTCATCCTATTTTTGTTAGTTCAGAAACCCAAATGGCTCACAAAGGTTTCCTATGATTTTTTTTATTTATTTACAATGCTGGAGTATATACGTATGTGAGAATATTTGGTACCACTGCATGTATGTTTAATTCTTCATGAGCTTTGAAAGTGGTCAATAACAAGGTCAGTAGAAATGGAAATATCTTCATTTGGATCTGTTTTATATGTTTCATATGGTGGTTTTATTGAAAAAGATGTCACCAACCACACTATGGGAAACGATCGCTAGTGTAGATGTTTTAAGCAGTATAACAGACATGACCTCTTGTTATTCTTTTAGCTTTCATCAGCAAGCAACCTTCTCTTCCAGCTACCAGTCAAAAATAAGGTATAGCCACTATCTGTGTAGTGTTAACTGCTATAGTATAAAATGTAACCAACTTACTAAACCCAGTACTGTTCTTAAAAGCTATCTCTTAACTCACAGCAAGTGCATATAATGGTAAAGGCAAGCATTAGGATCGTGGTACATTTATGCCCCCTTCCTGCCTGATGTGCTTTATGTATTAACAAGGTGTTGGCAGAGCTACAAAGTGGACATACAAATGAAGATGTGTGTGGGATAATGATAAATATGTCTCAAGCAGTACCACTAAAAAAGCATCGGATACATTTTTCAGATCCTTTTCTTGCCCCAAATAATACCTTCTGTTTTCCCAAGAGCCCTGTTGTTTATCCATATGCCTTTCTCTGCTGGCACATCCTTGGATGCTTTTCCTGTCTCTGCTACTATAGGTTTACTGGTAAGCTTCCATGAGTGAAAAAAAAGAGATTGAAAGAACAACTACACTTTAGCTGTCTTCAGTTTTCCACTGAGGAAGCTGTTGGGGTTAAGGTACGCACATAAATGGATTTAAGGGCAGGTTGAAGAAGTGTTCCTAGAGATTACAATGACCATTAAAATTATTCAATAAAACAGAGCAAGACAAATTTAGCAAAGTGCAAACTGGAGTACCGATGTCAACCAGTCCATTTTGTACTGGCTGTCTCTGATAAAGTGAATTCTGATTGGTTGCTTAAGATTAATGCATTTTGTGTTTCTGCGCTGTTTATTGAATACGTCCACAGCTTTGTTCTGGATGCTATGTCATGGATATGTGTACTTCATACTTGCCAACAGTCCTGGTTTGAGTGAAATGAGATCAATGCTGCTTATATATGGAATCCGGTGAGATGAGGCATTGGGATTTATTTTATCCAGGACCTGGAAATGTTGGCAAGCTTCTTGATGAGAAAAGACAACCATTTATGTAAATGCATGGATCTCAATGGATCACTACATATGGCTGTCTCATGTGCATGCATATATCATTCCTCTCAAAGGTCTTATGTGTCCTCGTGTGTATTTGTTTCATGAGCATTTTTAGTCTACAGAAAGCAGTATGTCATTAACATTAACTAACTTTAACATTTAGTTCTTATTTTACTTTGTGAAAGTGGTGGAAAATAAAAAAAAAGTGTTAAGGAGGAAAGTTCATACCTAACTTTAAATATAGTTTTTAATTTTACTATGTTAAAGTGGTAGGAAATAACAAAAATGTTAAGGAGTTAAAGCTCATAATGAGTGCTAAGCAAGTAACTAACTAACTAGGAGCCTGTATAAATGCATCCCCTATGGTGGTCTATAGATTACTGCCTAGGACTGCCATTAGGAATCTGCCAATCCACATTGCCTAATCTAGCTGTATTTTACACTTAACATATCCTTTGATTTTAGTGCATCTAGCCAAGGCTTTTCTTCAGCAACTGCTGCCAAAGGTCCCGTGCCTTACGGAGGGTACAATGAACCCTCTGCTCCTGCTCCCAAACCACGGGTAGTGACAACTGCAAGCATCAAACCATCTGTTTATCAACCAGCTCCAGGTAAGAAAAAGACTTATAGCAAATCCATTTGGTATTAAACATTTTTAACACTGTTGCAAGAAAAAGAAACAAGTTCTATTATTGAAACTAAGCGCAGCTATAAGACTTCTTTTAAATTTGTAGATACAGTCAGTCAAAAAGTGTCTGCCCCTAGATTACGCAATAGAGATATTCAAAGAAGTGCAAACAAATAATAATAAACTTTCTTGCAGATTTCTACCTTTTTTTATTCCGAAGAACTAGCTGTTTGTTTGTCTGTGTCCATGTAGAATGCATCTGTATGGGAGTGGCTTTATAATTACCAATCAACTACTGCACTCACAGGGCTCTAATGAGGAAATTGGCAAGGCCGGCATCCCTTTAGACCTGATTTCTCTGAGGGAGTATCTCACCAAAAATGACAATTTTGTTGAAGGGGGTGCCAAAAATATGACTTGTAGCTTAGTGTAATCAGTAAGACAATCACAGAAGCAGCATCTGTGTACCAAATGCATCCAGGTGGCCATCTTGCATTGCGTTTTTTACAGAAAACTACAGCACTGCATATTGCAAAGGAAAGGTCATTTTTAATAACATTCAATCGCAACATGACTTTAGGCAGAGGTTGTACAAAGGGGAGGAAGCCTTAGAAAAGGCACAATAATACATACTTATTCCAATGCCCTTATGCAAAATGAGCAATTAAACCTTGCGGAAACCAAACTGCAAGCACCAAGTATGATAAAATCACCTAAAAACATATATAATAGTGTGCTGTGCTACTCATTATGCTACAATATTGTTAGTGATCCAATCTATCAATGAACATATACACTCATCAGCCACTTTATTAGGTACACCTTGCTAGTACTGGTTTGGACCCCCTTTTGCCTTCAGAACTGCCTTAATTCTTTGTGGCATAGATTCAACAAAGTGTTTAAGACATTCCTCAGAGATTTTGGTCCATATTGACATGATAGCTTCATGCAGTTGCTGCAGATTTGTCAGTTGTACATCTATGAACTGTTGATACAAGGCAGGATGGATCCATGCTTTTACGCCAAATTCTGACCCTACCATCTGAATGTTGCAGCTGAAATTGAGACTCGTCAGACCAGGCAACGTTCTAATCTTTTATTGTCCAATTTTGGTGAGCCTGTGTGAATTTTAGCCTCCGTTTCATGCTCTTAGCTAACAGGAGTGGCACTCGGTGTGGTCTTCTGCTTCTATAGCCCTCAAGGTTCGACGTGTGGTGCATTCAGAGATGACATTCTGCATACCTTGGCTGCAACGAGTGGTTATTTGAGTGTCTGCTGCCTTTCTATCATCCCAAACCAGTCTGCCCATTCTCCACCCCACTTCTGGCATGGAGGCATTTTCATCCACACAACGGCCGCTCACACTGGCTATTTTCTCTTTTTCAGACCGTTCTGTGTAAACCCTAGAGATGGCTTGTTCATGAAAACCCCAGTAGATCAGCACTTTTTGAAATACTCAGACCAGCCCGTCTGGAACCAACAACCATGCCACGTTCAAAGTCACTTAAATCCCCTTTCTTCCCCATTCTGATGCTTGGTTTTAACTTCAGCAAGTCCTCTTCACCACGTTTAAATGCACCGAGTTGCTGCCATGTGATTGTCTGATTAGCAATTTGTGTTACCAAGCAATTGAACATGTGTACCTAATAAAATGGCAGATGAGTGTATGTGTATTTGTGCAAAAAAGATCCTCAGTCAACAAAATATTCACCTACATACAGTTGCATATGTGAACCCCTGGGATTACGTGGAGTTTTGCATGAATTGGGCATAAAATGTGCTCTGAACGTCATCTAAGTCACAACATAGAAGAACACAGTCTGCTGAACATAATACTACACAAACATTAGATGTTGCCATGGTTTAATTGCAACATAACATGTAAACATTCACAGTGCAGGGAGGAAAATGTATGTGAACCTTTTGACTTAATAACCGGTTGACCCTCCTTTGGCACCATAACCTCAACCAAACGTTTCCTGTAGTTGCAGATCAGACCTGCACAACGATCTGGAGTAATTTTGGACCACTCCTCTTCACAAAACTGTTTCAGTGTAGCAATATTCTTGGGATGTCTGGTGTGAATCGCTCTCTTAAGGTCATGCCACAGCATTTCAATCGGGTTGAGGTCAGGACTCTGACTGGGCCACTCCAGAAGGCGTATTCTGTGCTGTTGCAGCCATTGTTTTGTTGAATTACTTGTAATGCTTTGGGTCATTGTCCTGTTGCATCACCCATCCTCTGCGGAGCTTCAGTTGGCGGACAGAGGGTCATTACGTTTTCCTGCAAAATGTCTTGATAAACTCTGGAATTCATTTTCCCATCAATGACAACAATCTGTCCAGGCCCTGAGGCAGCAAAGCAGCCCCAAACCATGATGCTCCCTCCGCCATGTTTTACAGTGGGAATGAGGTTTTGATGTTGGTGTGCTGTGCCTTTTTTTCTCCACACATAGTGTTGTGTGTTCTTCCCAAACAACTCAATCTTGGTTTCATCTGTCCACAGTATATTTTGCCAGTAGTGCTGTGGAACATCCAGGTGCTCTTTTGCAAACTTCAAACGTGCTGCAATCTTCTTTTTGGACAGCAATGGCTTCCTCCGTGGTGTCCCTCCCATGTACTCCATTCTTGTTTAATGTTTTCCTTATTGTAGATGTGTCAACAAAATGTTAGCATGTGCCAGAGATTTCTGTAGGTATTTAGCTGACACTCTGGGATTAACCTCATGCAGCATTCTGCGCTGTGCTCTTGCAGTCATTTTTACAGGACGACCACGCCTAGGGAGAGTAGCAACAGTGCTAAACTTTCTCCATTTGTAGACAGTCTGTCTTACCGTGGAGACATGAACATCAAGGCTTTGGAGATACTTTTGTAACCCTTTCCAGCTTCATGCAAGTCAACAATTCTTGATCGTAGGTCTTCTGAGAGCTCTTTTCTGCGAGGCAGGGTTCACATCAGACAGTGCTTCTTGAAACCAGGAAACCACAAAACAGGTGTGTGTTTTTTAAGGGCAGGACAGCTGTCAGCAACACATCCAATATCATCACACTGATTGGAGTCAAGGTTGGCTCACTCCTGGCTCCAATTGGGTCTGGGAGAAGTCATTAGGCTAGGGCCTCACATACTTTTTCCTCCCTGCACTGTGAATGTTTACATGTTATGTGCAATTAAACTATGGCAACATCTAATTTTTTTGTAGTATTATGTTCAGCAGACTGTGTTCTTCTATTGTTGTGACATAGATGACGTTCAGAGCACATTTTATGCCCAATTCATGCAAAACTCCACGTAATCCCAAGGGGTTCACATACTTTTTCTTGCAACTGTATATAACTTTAGCATCCACATTAATAAAAGCCAAAACATTTGTGAGTATAACTATACAATGGGGAGAAGAAATGAAACACCACTCACACCACCTGTGTGGTCCTTTGTAGTAAGGAATGGCCTCAGCCGCCATGCCAGCCACGTCCCCTGTGATCAAGCCCCAGTGGGCGGGATGAAACACATCAGAGTGTGTGGCCAGCTTGACCACACTGAGACCATTCCTTGCTACACAGGACCACACAGGTGGTGTGAGCGGTGTGTCCTTTCTTCTCCCCTTCGTAAACTACTGGATTGACATTTGGACGCTGCTCCCCCTGCACTTGCCGGTGAGGTGATTCATCTCAGCAATCAGCTTTTGAGCGGCACCATAACGCTTCACTATAACTACACAGTATTATAATAAACAGTGCCCATAAACAAATATTAAAACAGTGTCCATGAATAAAACAGTGTCCGCAAATCTTGCCACATATGTTGTAATCTGACTGTACAACCTCCATTAGATCTATCAACAAGTACATAGTGCTAACGCGTGCCTGATTGAATACAAATTTATTGGATGGTTTAGTTAGGTCTTCATATTACATAGATTTGGAAACTCTAAATATGGCCATACACAATACAATCAGTTTGCACAATCGCCTTTAGGTATATCAAAATTATGTAATATGAGGACATACCTAAAAAAAAAATCCATTCAATTTATAACTAGCCAGGCAGTCCCACTCAGAGGTGTCCAACCTTTTGACTTTTCTGGGCCACATTGGAAGAAGAAGAATTGTCTTGGGCCACACATAAAATACACTAACAATAAGTATAGCTGATGAGCAGCTGTCCACAAAGCTGTCCATAACACTGCCCCAAACTACATCATCACCGACCTAATATCCAAATACCACCCAAAACGCACTCTCCGCTCCTCACAAGACCTCCTTCTCTCTAGTTCCCTGGTCTCTTCATCCCATGCTCGCCTCTAGGACTTCTCCAGGGCATCACCCATGCTCTGGAACTCCTTACCCCAATCCATCATACTATCACCTACTCTCCTCTCCTTTAGGCGCAGCCTGAAGACCCATCTCTTCAGGGAAGTCTACCCCGCCCTCTGCTAATTGCCGATATCCTCCACTCTTCCTACCACTCCATCCCCCACAGCTTTTCCTCCCGTACCACTATCCCCTCCCTCCTAGATTGTAAGCTCCAAGGAGCAGGGCCCTCGAACCCCTCGTGTATCGCATTGTATTGTTATTGTACTGTCTCATGTATTGTCTCCCATTGTAATGTTCAGCGCTGAGCGAACTGTTGGCGCTATATAAATACTGTATAATAATAAAAATAATAATGAGCAGAAAAAGTTGGGCAGATCACAAGTTAACTGTCACTGATATAGATAACGTAGACCTATCTGAGTAATAAAGCTTCATTTTTTTTGCAATTTTTTTATTATTAATGTAAAAGAGGGCAACATAAAACTAGTGTGATATATGACACTGTTTTTGATAAAGTGGCAAGCCTAAATGAATTCTCAAGGTGCTCAAAATATTTTGGTTCTAATTTGTTGTGCGCTTCATCCTTGAAAATAGTTGCTCACAAATATATACAGTAGATGTTGCCGAATACTGATGACATGAATAAGGCGTGATTATGAAGAGAGAGTTTT